ATTTCTAAACATGAGTTACTCAACTTGCTATATTTTTACATGTTCCAATTCAGTGTGTTATTTTATGATCAACGCATTTATGGAGACAACATTTTCTCATGAATTGGAACTATTTTCATTGAATAGTTAATATTAGTTTTCCACGCTTAGTTCCTATATGCAGTTGTCGAAGTACCGGTAGCTTAAATAGGTCCACCCAAGTTCAAAAGCCAGACGTAACAAAACAACTTCTTTCAAGGGAATTTACTCCAAGCAAGGTCAGACGCACTCACTCAAAATTGATCACTGAGTGGAGTTAGGAGGCAATCACTAAAGTACTTTTGAGACTAAAAAATTATAGTGTATAATTGGGCGTTAGTAAATAACGATGGACGAGAGACCGAAGCAGTTTATAATAATAAGACGAGAAAAAACAGATAAGTAGTCGTGGATTCTAATAATGCCGACCAAAAAGATAATGCTCTAATTGTGGAGTCGATGACCTTATTAAATTTAAAAACAACGGAACTCACACGGTATCCATAAATTCAAAATTTACGTAATTTGAAAATCCCATGACGGAAGAGACATCTGTACGAAAATAAATTGTTTGTTCGAAAAAATTGCAAGACACTGCCAAATTAAAAATAGAAGTAAAATAGCGATACATGATGACGGAAGCGCTTCTAAGAAAAACTTTTACAAGGAATCCTGACTCACGCGACTGGCTCACCGTGTCCTCGTATGACGCTAAGTGAAGAAGATAACTTGTATTCACAAATGGTGGTTAGAAATTTGGAATTGGCCTTTGAACCATTCGCTGAGAAGTTCTTATGTTTATTGAACACGAGCTAGGCATATGGAGAATATTGCTACATTTTGTTCTTGTTGGGGGAAAAATTGCTTTTCTTCAGTACCCCAAAACAGAAGAAACCACTAGAAACCGCTAGAAGCCCGCCCATCTTTTCAGCGAACTCTTCGCTCCCACCACCTCAGGGCTTACCATTACTCTCTTGATATCTTAAATGAAATACAAAACAGATGTCTATCCATCAACATTCAGTATGTTCCGAGTGTATTTTCAGTTAGGCGAAAAATAAACTGATGATTACCCCTAATCGGGACCCCAAATTGTTGATTGGCTAGAATTGTATTAAAACAGTGACTGAAATATACAGCAAAAATTGCGAAATTTCTCATCACTATTTTTCACAATGGAACGACTGTTCTAAAGTTTACGAAATCGTGAAAGGCGTATAGATAAAATCTGTAATTAACAAGCGAAATTCCTTGCACCATAAATATGTATTATATACCTTGTCTAAGTGGATTATGACGAAACTCTGAGTGAGAACTCGTCATCAAGTTTTGATCCTATCACCACTAATGACTCAATAATTATCCAATATGAGGAAAATTTATCGTCTTTGTACAATACGATTAAAGAATTTTGTCACATAGACATTTTGTGTATTAACAAAACAACTATGGGGGAAATTTCAAACCCAACGCTGCAATAGATTGTGATGACTTTTGAAAGGCGGCCATTTAGGTTTTCTCCGATATACGGACATAACTATATATTTGTTTAACTTAAATTATTATAAGACCTTAACATTTTTTCCCATCGATTTTTTGTGTGAACAAATACAAGAAACAGGTCTAACTGCGCTTGTTTCAATATTGTCTATGGATAATGATTGGAAAATCGTATGCAAATATAACCCAGAGCCCATGGGCACAATAGTCAATGATATTAATCCTCCATCAGCGTGACCTTCATAATCATCATCTTCATAATCAGAATCGAACATAATGAGAACAATGAACGCGAAGCTTCCGCTTAACGATAGCAATGCAATGAATGTTTAAAATTTGCATTATATTCTAAGCCTATATCCTGGTTTTCAGAGTCGCTGCAGATTCATTCATTCAAACCATATGCTGTCATTTCCGACCATTACCATCAAATGAAACAATTAAAATGCTTTCATGGAAGGTACAATTCAAAATTTCCGCATTCTCGCAGATCAGAAGCGAATGATATAGTAAAAGCAATGACGACACAATATTGTATGGTAAAGGGGATTTTTTACCGAGACATTTTTAGAGTTTCACAGGTTACGAAACATACGGCAGGTATAGTCATGCATTTTCTAAGCCCTTATGTGTATTGTTGACAAAACAAGTCTCTTCCTGTCTTTGACTGTCTGCTGTAAATCTATAAATGGAGTGTTTTCGCGGAATTCCACTGTCCTTATATTTAGGCTTAGGAAAAATGACCAATAATGCAAAACGTACGCCGAATAACGGGATGACTCATATTTTCTAAACTCAACGCGAACTGATGTGTCCCCCGGCGCCATTGTTTCCCGCGCAGATGATTTTCCATCCTGGCCCTGGGCGCGGGAAACGGATGGGAAGGAAGAAGACCACAATCACGAAAAATAACGTCAGGCAATCGGAAAATTTGAAATCGTGGCGCGTATCGATGTAATCACTTAGTTCGCATGAAATGATTACGTTGCCAGAAATTCATTAGTCACTTACGGAGCTATTGTTGTCCTAAGACATAGTGTGGTGCATTCCAAGATACAAATGACACGATTTTGCGTTAGTGGGGAAATGTCGTTATAGTTTGTGACTTATGCACAGTGTGAGTAAGAAATACAATCAACAAATAAACAAACACACTTATTGCTCATTTTTTCCCAGTATGGTACTTTTTTACGCGGTTAAATTGCTGCCAAAAATTCGCGCGCAAATTTGTAGCCAATAAATTAGTTAGGCAAGAATTGATTCCATCAGCCTGAAACCAGAAATACGGCGGCCTGTAAGAACGAGCTGTCACAAAAACAATTACGCATTTTTATTATCATAAACGATTTACAGCAACAAATTTTCAACAATTGAAACAGTTCCCATTCCAACTTAAGCCCTTATTCACATTTCTTGCGAGGGTGATTTTGATGGTTCCATCTAGATGAAAAATCGAGCTAAAGAGGCAATAAGGTGTGCTTCTCGAAAAATCGGGTTGGGTGAAATAGTGAAGTATGGACCTAGAAATGAACGAACTTTTAAAACACCGAGGATTGAAACCCATAAAAATATAGCACTATATAATTTGAGAGCCATTGTGAACCACATACTTTGTTTTATAATATTGAAATTATGTTGTGTTTTGCTTATTAATGAAAATAAGAACGCAAATAAAAAAAAAAAATACAAATCTTAAATAAGGACAAATTTAATTTGTCAGAGGTAAGTCCTAAAAATGAGGACAGATATTGAAAAATAAGGGCCGTATGGAAGCCATGCGTAAAAGCCATAAGAAGTATTGAAAGAACACTGCGGTATACGTGATCGCGGTCTACACAACCATTTCACCGCATTATGCAGATAATTTTCGGCGGTGATTTTGCAGAATGAATTGAAATAAGAAGTCGTTGACATTTTCAGTGGTTTATAATACAATTGAAAAAGTCTTTTAATGGTTGATTGTGCAAGAAGATAATAATTGTATTGCATCGTTCCCACGGAAAAACTTTATATCGGTCAAAATTCAGAACATAATTATGTCAGTTGCATTGAGCTTCTGTGAAGTGAATAATAAAGAAAAAATAAATCCTTAAGCTGGTTCAATTCTGGCAACGTGAACAATCAATAGAAACACAAGTATTTCTCAGGCCAAGTATTCACCACAGATAACAATATCCTAGGAATCTGTACGAAAAAAAGCAAATAAAAATACGTAACAAACGCCGACGTTGCTTATTCTAATTGTCATTTATTTGGTTAAGCTGAAATAACCTTAACGTAAGGGGCAAGTAAATTCCACGTAAAGTTACGTAAACAGTCACGTCGCCAAAGTAAATGTCAAGAAAGATGGCGCAAAACCCGAATATAGACAATAGAAACTATTGCTGGCGAAATTATGTATCATAAAAGAAACGAGCATTTTGTGCTTAATTCGAATGCGGACTTAACTTGATCGACGACGTTTATACACAAGTCTTTTTATCGATGGCATTGACGTAGACGTGACGTCAATGCAGACGACTACAAAAGAAGTATGTTTACTGATCGAAAGGTCAATCGATTACTCGTATTCCAATATTTGTGCGAAATCATAAATGCGATTTCATATAAATTTGGTATTCAAATTATGACACATCATTTTCCTTTTTTTGCAAGAGTTGACACAACAAAAAAAATAGTTCCAAAATTGCACCACATTTTCATGCCGCCAGCCAATGAATTCGTATATCGAGTGAAGCGGTTGGTGTGTTAATAAATTATATGATGAAAAACTTGAACCTGTCACAAACTAGGTTGATGAAACTAAAATTTCCCTATTGATGCACAAAATCTGCACAATCCTTTTTTAAGTGTATGCAATTCTATTAAAAATTGCGGCGCTTCAGAAGTGTGTGTACCAATATGGGGGTAACTAATTTTGTCGGCCTACCCAACATCAAGTTGTGTAAAGAGACTGAAACATATGGACAGGGGGTATATTCACTTGGCTAGCACAGACAGTCACCGAACTCGTAATAGAACTAAAATAAGGAAAATTGGGAATCAAATTATGCTAACATCTGACCTGGTACACACAATACGGATTACCAAAGTTTACTGCTTATCAGAGGCATTGAAAAAATTTATCGCATTAATTCACTAATACTTTCCTCGTTGTATAATAAAATAATTTCCAAGAATGAACATAATAATACCGTATCATTCACCCGGTATTCATGTATGAGATTTATAAAGCACGCCTGACGCCGCCATGAAATTTTCATCAGGGCATGACATGGTAAATATATATCTTTA